TTCTAATTCAAACCATTTTGTGATTCTTTTCCTTCACAGGGACAAGGAAAAGCAAGGCTGAAGAAGTGCCTGCAGCTGCTCAGAACCAGGGCCATGCTACAAGACACGTGCCCACCCTTTCATCTCCTTCCACTTAGAAAGGCACATTCCTAAAAAAAAAACTCCCAAACCCATGGTTTTTAACATGCTGCCACACCAGAGTGACTGTGCTGAAAGCAACATCAGGGCAAGGCAAGTTTGGTAGACTGAAGGATCAAGAGGCCCAGAGGAATCATTTAGTAATTGCATTTTTAACTTTTTAAATATGCACAAATGTGTCCATATTTCCTACTTTTGTGGAGGGTGGAGAAGAGTATGAGATAAAGACAGCTGGCTTCCTTTGTACAAGACAGGAACAGTTTAAGCTGAAGTATCTTAACACCTCTGTTTTTCCATATATTCACCCATCACTTTACACTCAGATTCACACCCCAGAACTGGTATTTTTCCTTCAGAGGCACAACACAAAGGTGTTAACTTGAATTTATATCTAAACACAGAGTGGTTGCACACATTTAGCTTGGCTCAAGCCCACCAGCCTATTCACTCTTGCAGTATTTTCTCCAATAACCTTAAATTCTGACTGGTTTGGGGTTTTTCGGGTTATTTTTTTCATCCTGCAGAGGTTTTAGGTGAACAAGGGTTGAACCAGCAAAAAATAAAGAAAGGAACTCCCTTGAAACTTTTCAAATGGAAAAGCACACACACCATTTTCTTTTCAAGAGGTTTTAATGAAGACTCATATTTTTAAACCTCTCACACTGTACAACAACATTTAAATGTACATCAAGCTCAGATAAAAAATAAAGCTTTCTTACAAAGTACGTTTTTCCAGTGATTTTTTTTCCTTTTTTTTTTTTTTTGCAGTAAAAATAGCTGCTACATAAAACCCTCCTGATCTTTGAAAAGGAGTCACAGTTATTTCCAAAAATAGAATTCATATTTTAATCATACAGAATAAACTGCAGGAAGAAGAGACAAGTGAACTGAAAAAATAAGGCTCGTATATAAATTTTTTTTTTTTTGTTTAAAAGTACATGCATAGAAGTTGAAAAAACATATGCCATTTACAAAGAAAAAAAAAAAAGGTAATTTTATCCATATTCATATTTTCACTTTCAGTTATAGAAGAAACCACAAACAGGCCCTTTTATGTCCCAGAATACAACATTAGTTTCCTGTAAAAATGCCAAAGTGCACAAAGAATTGCCAGCTTTGGCAAAACTCTGAGCCAGCCCTCCCTCCCCCCATCCCCCAAATTCATGCATACTGAGCACTTCTGTTGTCTCTCAGGCCAATTAAATATTTGCAGAAGGTTGTATATCCTAGACAAACATGAAAAAAATCCCCCACATCTGATAAGTTTACATTCGTCCTATTTCAAAACCACACATACAATTAGTTTAATTTACACTATACAGTATCTGTTAAATAGGAACATTAGAGTTTCCAAAGGAATCACAGAATATATATATATATATATATATATAAACTCAATATTGAAATGGTATGATTTTCCTTCCCTTTCTGTTAAAGGGTGGGTTGTTTTTTTGTTGGTTTTGTTGGGTTTTTTTTGTTGTTAACAGTTGCTACATCTGGTTTCGGACACGGAGTGCTTATGTACCTGTGCAGCACATTCCTGGAGCAGTAATAACAACAATAACAATATTAATAAAACGTGCTTTAAAACAAAAGTACTATCGGTCTCCTCGCTGCTCGTTTTCAAATAAATTAGCTTTTCGTTTTTTAAATAAAGATGCAGCGATAACCTTAACGCGACAAAAGATGCACGACGCGAGACGTTAAGCGGTGACGGCGCCTTAAAAACATCTGAGCAACACCACTCCTGCTGCATCGCTGCTCTCTCACACCCCCAACCTTTGGTTTTAAAGCCACCCCTTTATTTCCAGGGCGGCGTTAAAGTAGCCAAAAACGCCTTCGGCGCGGCGGGAACGCCGCATCCCGGAGCGTTTTCCGTGTCCCCGCCGCAGATCCAGGGGGCTGCGCCGACCGACAACACCCAGAGGCCCAAAACCTCCCTCCGGCTCTCGCGCCCGCCGAGGTCCCGATTCCCCCAAGAGCGGCGTCCCGGCCGGAGCATAGGCGGGAGAACAGGCTCCCTTCCCACACGGAGTCCCCACACCAGGTGGTCTTTCCCCCCCCTCTCTCCCCGGGCGGGGGGCTCAGTCCTCGGTGTCGGGCTGGACGCCCAGCATGGCGTGGAGCTCCTCGGCCGTGTAGCCCAGCAGGTTGTGGAGGTCGCAGACGAAGCGGTACACGTAGCGCTTGCCCGACGTCTTGTGGATGATGTTCTTGTCGTAGTAGTAGCGCAGGCCCCGGCTCAGCTTCTCGTAGTTCATCTTGGGCTTGTTTTTCCTCCTCCCCCACCGCCGGGCCACCTGAAAGGAAAGTCCAAAAAAAAAGGGTTTGTTAGAGTCGGGGGTTTCTGATAAACGCAGGTATTAAGGTCGTTTCCTCAGAGCGTTTCGTTTGCTTTGGGTGTCCTGGCCTTGGGTAGGGATTGGTGACCGACCCCACAACAGAATGTGCTCCGACTGCAACTTCAGGAGAAGAACTGGTGACCAACCCCACAACACAACATGCTCTGAGACAATTGTCATCAGCAACTTCAGAAGAATTGATGTCCAACCCCACAACAGAACATGCTCCAAGATAACTGTCATCAGCAACTTCAGGAGAAGAACTGGTGACCAACCCCACAAGAGAACATGCTCCAAGACAATTGTCAGCGGCAACTTCAGGAGGAAGCGGTCGATAGCAAATGTCACTGAAAAGTGATACCAGTTTGAGGTGGATGGGCCAGAACGTGCTTGAGGAGACCAAATTTTAAAGGGATTTCACTGAAATCTCTTAAGGAATTTCTTAAGGGGAGTCACTGAATATCCCGAGCTGGAAGGGTCCCACAAGGATCATCGAAGTCCAGCTCCTGGCCCTACACAGGACAACCCCAAAAATCACTGAATAACCCAAGTTATAAGGGTCCCACAAGGGTCATCAAAGTCTAACTGCCAACTCTGCATGGGACAACCCCCAGAATCACTCAATATCCCCAGACTGGAAGGGTCCCACAAAGGTCATCCATACACAACTCCTGGCCCTGCACAGGACAACCTCAAAAAAAAAAAAAAATAAAAAAAATCACTGAATATCTTTGAGTTGGAAGCATCCCATAAGAATCAAAGTCCAACTTGTGGCCCTGCACAGGACAACCCTAAAAACCCAACCATGTGCCTGAGAGCATTGTCCAAACACTTCTGGAACTCTGGCACATTGTCTGCTCCCTCAGGAAAACAGCATTTCACCACTGATTTGCTACTGAGCAGCACAGGACAGCTCTTTAACTGAGAGGTGAATGATATGAAGTTCCTTGGAGTTAACTGTTTATCCCTCCTCCCTCTTTTTAATAAAAAGACTTCAGTGGACTTTATATCCCACCTCTCAATAACATAACTTCCCTGGTGATAACAGTATCAGAAAATGAAAGTGCATCCTATTTATTTTTAATGACCGAAGTTATAAGTTCCCAAAATACTTCATTTCAGGTGGCAGTTCAGACCCTAAATCTTTTTCTTCACCACAATTGGCCACATACCTCATCTGGATCAGCAAGTTTAAATTCCCATCCATCTCCTGTCCAACTAATGAATGACTGACAGGACTTGTCAGTCAGTAATTCCAGCAGGAATTGCCACAGCTGTATAGGTCCACTGCCTGTTGGCAGAGAGAGGGAGAAACCATAATTAATACTTCTGCAAGCTCTCACCACAACCACGTGCATGTGACCAGACTCATATCACAGAATAGATCTTGTAATTACTCTGATTTATCTTTTTTTAAAAATCAGAAAGAAACCTAAGGTTTTGCTCTATAGTACAAACCTGCTAAACACGTTAAAATTAAAACAAATCAGCCTTTTCATGGAAACACAGGATTTGACTCAAGCTGGGTCTTTCCCTTTCATATGGATCCCTCATCCCTCACTCCCATCTCCCAACCAGCTGCATTTCAAGCTCCAGGGCTTGTCCAGCACTCCTTGGCTTGGCAAATGTTTTGGAGGACAAACCAATTTCAGCAAGGACTACGGGAATAAGGCTTTAGCAGGCAAGTCAACACCAGTGGAAATTCCCAAATGTGGGAGATTTTGTCCCAGTTTCCCTCTTTTTCAAAGAGATCAACAAGTGTATTTGCTTTTCATGTGTCCTGACATACCTGCCTGTTCTTGCTGTGGGTGGATAATCCCATGAGGCTTTGTTTAGTGACATTTAAAACTGAAACTCTTCCTGACTAGTGGTCTCTACCCCCATGGCACACACTTATGGAGAATACTGATGTCACCTAAGAAGAGGAGTGACCATTTTGCTCCACAACTTACCAGTGAAGCCAGCCAGGATGGCTGCTGGTATAACTGGTTTCCCTTGCTCCACAGGATCGCTCCTTTCTTGAATATAGTCTTTGAAAGACATTGTAGGTTTGCTCAGGCACAAGGACTGGCTACAGTCATCCTCAAAACTCTCGTAGGATGGCACACGCTGTAAATCCACCAGGGAAGATTGGCTGTTCCAGGACTGCAACATGGAATCTGAGCTTTCATAGCTTTCTGCACCGCTGTCACTGGACTCGTGTTCTCTCAGCTTACCTTTATAAAATAAAAAAAAAAAATAAAAAATTGTGAATTGTTGGTGGTTTTTTTCCCCTCCTTCTCAATCCACCCTGCACGTATAAATTATGCAAAGGAGCAAAACACATTCAGAACATGGCCCTGGACCAGCGTTTGTCATGCAAGAAAACGACTCACCAGAATTATCCATCAGCAAATTCAGGTTGTTCCTTGGGAAATCCTGGTTTACTGTGCAGTAGTTCACACCAACAGCATCTGCTTGGGCTTTAGGGAACAATGAAAACTCTTGTTCTGGGTTGAGGAGATTCGGTGCTGTGGAAGTCTGACAGACGTCAGTCAGGAGGCTGGGTTTGGGATAACTGAGGGCTTTAGGGTATCCAGGCATTTGCATTCCATAGGAGTTCTGATCTACATTAACAGCTGAAAACAAGAAAGGAAAGAATTAGATTATTTTCCCTGCAGACCCTTAAACAAACTAATACACTAAATACACCAAATCAGATTCTGCAAATCTCCCTCCATAACCTGCCAGCCACAAATGCCTATTGTTTGTTCTCCAAGGAAACAACAGGGCTACAGGAAAAAGGGGGAAGTTTAAGGTGGTTTTAAGTAAGGCCCTCACCATTGAGTGGTATAATCAGGTTGAGCTGAAGATTGATTGATTTTTGTATTTTATTCTACCACAATCTGAGGGAGCCAGCACTGCATCCCACACACTTCCAAAAGCTCTGCTGCACTTCCACAGCCTTTAAAAAGCCTCAACATAAAACTCTTGCTGCTTCCCAGTAAATGGTAGTTTTTGCCTCTGTTTTCTACAGATGGGAGTGGTCATTCTGCTCCACAGATGGAGGGTTTGGCATTCCAAGAGGAAATTTAATTTTCTCCAAGCCTTTGCTCTTCAAAAGATTTCCGATATAAATTAGATGACAATTAAACAATACAAGGAAAGAAGGCTGCAGCAATTGAACTCAAATGTTCTCCTCAAGCACAGGAACTATTCTGGTGCTTTTTGTTTTTACACTGGAATCTGTGACACCCTTAGAAGTAACTGAAAGATGTAAAAAAAAAAATAAAAAAATGACAATTTCTAAAAAATACTTACTTAAGGAATTATTGCTGACCCAGTGAGGAACAGAGGTGAGATGAGAGTTCTCCACATACTGATCCTGTGTTTTCTCTTGGCTGTCTGGGGAGAGGAGAAAAAGGAAATTTGGGGTTATAGTTTTAAAGATATGACCTGTGTGCCATGAAAAGCTTCTGAATCTTTTGAGTATTTTGGGATCAACACTCACAAAAATTTTACTCACACAATATTGCATTCTTTCTCTTGAAAGAAACCACCCCAAAATACCCAACCAACTTCCAATAGGTTTGAAAACCATCACAGCAATTGAATTTTAACATAAAACTGGTAAACAACAATAATTGCAGTGTGTTTCAAGGTCCAACTCTTGGTTAACTGTTTTGTTTTTTTTTAATGAGGTATTTACAGTGGTCTTATCCTAAGCTCATTTATTTCAGTGATTTTTCCCAAATAAAACCTGACCACAATAGGTACTCAGCCTTGCATACCAAGGACATATTAACAGTTCAGATAATAGTAACCAAGTTTTACAGTTTATATGTAATAAAAGCTCTTAATAGTGAAACTGGTGTTGAGATAGGGTCCCATATCTGTTTCTGCCAACAGAGCCCTAAACCAAAAAGCTGTTTCTGGCTCTCTAACTACCTTTTATCATCTGTTCCAGGTGTTCCCACAGAATATCACCCACATAGTCAGGTGCCAGTTCCAGGAAACGCTCCTTGCCCAGGTTGCACAAGTCTTGGCCACTCATAAGAAACTGGTGGAAGTTCACATTTGCCAAGCTAAACTCATTGGTAGCCCATGAAAGCCACTGGCAAACTTGTTGTTCAGTCCACAGCCAGGGATCTGCAAGACAGAAAGGACATTTAGAGCATTTAGAGGCAAATCCTGACCTTTGCCAAATGATCTTCATTAGAGAGCCGTGAATTTAAAAAATAAATTTGTTTACACAAGTTACTTAGTTCCCAGCGAATTCAGAATGAATGTGTTCCTGAATTTAAAAACCCCACAGTCCTCTCTTTTCCTTCTGCATTCACTTGGACGTCCTCAGCATAGCTGATTCTCTCTCATGCTGCCAAAACATGAGCCCTCCATGCACCCTTTTTTAACACCAGCAAGCCTGGGCCTTCCAAGTCAAGCTGTGCCAGATTCACATAGGATCCATTCTTGTATTTCCTACTGACATCACCCTTTCTCTTTTCAAAGAGCTGCTATTCAGCCTCCCCCTTTAGCATTAAAAAAAAAAGAAAAAAAGGGTTCTTATAAATAGCAAAACACTTACTATTTGGGATACCCAGCCGACACTGTTCCTTTGTGAAACCACTGAAAGTATCTTTCAAGGCCTGACTCATCACAGCCTTGCTGCATGGGGTTAACAGAGGCAATTCACAGTTGTTGGACTCTGGGAGAAAGAAAAGGGGTGGAGGGGAGAAAAAGATGCATTACATTTTAAGCCAGTGGAAGAAGACAAGGGTTTTTGCTATTTGAAGCATTAAAAAAGAGATGTTGGAAAGTCAGTGTTTTAAAACCAGAGCCAAACAGCACAGATCCACTTCCTAAAATCTCTGTGCTACTCATTTGATAAGATTGAATCACTAATTGGAGCTTTGCAGCTTTCCATGACATAGATGATCCTTATTTACTCTTGGTACTTATATAAAGTGCCTTCATTGCAGGGAAACTTCACTGTTATTTTTTGGGTGGTGTTTTTAAGGAAATAAGACTGCTTATTCCTATTTTGCCACCTACAATTTGACCCCAGATTTCTTTATAACTCCAGTCTTCAATTAGTTTGAGAGCTAAACAACTGACAGGAAGGTTGTGGAGAGCCAGTCTGCACCATTTAACTCTCTATTTCAGACCTTTCCATGCATCTCTCCATCACCCAAGGACATGGCTCAACAGATTTTTCTATCATCTGAACCAAACAAGTGTGACTGGTAACAAGCTGGTACCCAGAGGGCAAATAGTGGAACAGAACACCATTAAATACCAGCATAAATCACTAATCCACTTAACTGATCCTTAAATGTACAAGTAGATCTCATTTTAAGGCCAAATTTGGCTTCCACTCAGTGTTTCATGTTGGGCAATTTTCACCAGAAGATGCCTCATTTTATCACAGAATGGTTTGGGTTGGAAGGGACCTTAGAGCTCATCCAGTTCCACCCCCTGTCATGGGCAGGGACACCTTCCACTAGCCCAGGTTGCTCAGAGCTCTGTCCAACCTGGCCTGGGACACTTCCAGGGATGAATTTCTGCAGCTCTTTGAGCTCTCCCAGACTATCTACAGGCTCCACTTGACCCAGCCTGTGCTTAACTTCTGTCTTTACCACACCCTTCCTAATATCTGCTGGGACTTGCTTTGCTGACCAGAGCAGGTGACTGATTAGAATCACATTAGAACAAAGCACGTGTGGTTTTCTGAGGTTTGGAGTTTGTTTTTCCCTTCCCTAAGGGAAGATAAAAGCAGCATCAGGTAAAATATCCACATTTTGGACAAAGCTTCCTGTTTTGTCAGGCATTTGAGGCGAGGATTTGCACAGAACTCTTGGTAAATACTGTCCTACACACAAATAAAAGCCATAAAATCCATAAACATCTCCATCTCATTTTTTTATGGTATGGAATAAAATATAATGGGATTTAACACCAGAGGGTCAAAAAAAGGAGCTTGCAGAATACTTGCATCTTAATTACGGTTGAGACGTTGCAAGTTTGAAAACACACAAAACTTTTTTAAGGTTTTTAAACTCTCAGTTCTACTTTAACACTGAATCCCAGTTCTTATTCCCTTTCAGCACAGAGAACAGCAACTATCCACAAAGCAACCCACGTGATAG